AAAAGCAAAAAAATGAGATGAAAGTGAGTGGTTGTAACATTTAATAATTAATCTTTATGGTTAAAGAAAAATAATTTTTTTTATTATTTTCAATTTAATAGACAAAAACAAAATTAAAAGATGGAAGAAAATATTAATAAATTAAAATTAAAGAGATTTGATTAAAAAGGGGATGACAAAAGAAAAGAGGAGTGATAGGTTGCAATTTCATCATTTATTTTATTATTAATTTTCCTTATTACCTGAGTTGATGTGGATTAATTGTTAGATCCTACTCACTTTTGAAAATTTACATTTATTACAGGGAGTAGAACGAAAATACCATAACAAGTGCCAATTTGGCAGTTATCATGAAAGAGTTTAAGAAGCAGGCGTTCAGGGGCATTTTTGAAATATCAAGACGCGATCCCTTTTCAATAATTTGCGGAAGACAACATTGCAAAAGAGAGGGCTGGAGTATTCTTCTTCTGCTGGCCGCGGACGCCGCACAGTAGCAGTAGGAATATTAGATAGCTTTCCTTTGACTTTTTCTGGGTAGCTTTTCTGTCTTCGTATGGTAGGACCTCTAGCTTAGCTTTTCTTTTGACTTTTCCTTTTCGTCTTATTGTGCTTTTGCTTCTATAGGATGTGAAGGCAAAGAAAAGTAATTGGGCATTCTTTGTAATCTTGACTTTTCCTTCATTGCCGAACTGAATTGAATTTTCTCATTTTCGGAGTCAATGGCGCAATGGTTGCTTCGATTTCCTGTGTGCTTTATTCGTTAAAGATAAACTAAATTCCCTTTTCTAGTCAAGGAACAACGGAGGCTTTGATTCGCCTAAAAATTGTGAGATTGATTTAATTTTATCTTTTTCTTTTATTTTATTGTTATTCGCATATTCTCTGATTACAGTATTTATGGTTATTCAATTAATTGATTGTCTTGGATCCGGATAATTAGTTAATTTAGTAACCTATTGTCAATTGGGGCATTAAATCCGTAATTGTTTAATTGCCTTAAAATAGTGACAATTGGCATAATTAGACTTGTGTTAGGAGAATACGCGGACTAATTTAAATTAATCCTGGTAGTGCGTTATTTAGTTAGAATAGGGCTCCTCTAATGCATAAGGCAGTTGGGAAATTAAATCTTACGGGCGTACCTAAGATTATTTCTCAATTAGAGTAGTGGTTAACGGGCGTACCTTAATTACCGATACAGTAAGGAGGGGTTGACTGTCATCGCTTGTTTGGCAGTTATAACATATTTATTGATAAATAATTGAAATTGGCTTTGCATCGATGATCAATTTGGTGAACCATTGTTGAAGTTATTTCTTGGCTAGATCCTTAATTATCACCTATTTGATTTTAGTAATTTGTTATTTAATTTTTAGTAGTTTCTTAGATTGTATTTGAATTTCTTTGATTGTCACCTTCTGCACAAAAACACCCCCTTTGTTACTGTGAATTTGAAAAGAAACAGTTACATCCAGTCCCTATGGATTCGACCCTACTTATCACTATTTACAAAAATTAACTTTAGTTGAGTAGATTTTTATTATTGCACAACCCCGACACCTGTCAAGAAGAGAGAGAGAGAGAGAGTTGAAGATTATACAAAAAGAGTCATGGATGAGATTTTATCGGGTGGACGTTTGTTTTATATAAATGTATTATCAAAAGAGACTAATAGGATGTGATGATGCAATGGTTACTATGTTGGTTTTCCATCGCAAAGATCCTGAGTTTTTTGACAAGGGCAACTTTAATATAGAACCGGTATCATGGCTAGGCATAGCCCACGGTTCCTGAACCGCTGGTTTTGGTTCTTCAAAGAGGTAGAATCAGAATCGCATAACCGCACCATCTAAGATGGTTCTAGTTCTGGTTCTGGTTCCTTATAGTTTTGATTTTGGTTCCTTATGGTTCCGGTTCCGGTTCCGTATAGTTGTATACAATTTTATTTAATTTCTTATCCTTACCAATTTTAATACGAATATAACAATATGTTCAAAATTTCAAAGAGAATGTAAAAAAATAAATACAAAATAAAGATCATATTTTAATTTTATTATTATTCTACAAAGTATGAAGTAATAAATAGATAATACAAATTTTATGAAAAGTACATTACATTGTCAAATTAAAAATACATTGCACTATCGAATGGTAATCATTTTAAATGGAAAAGAAAATACATGATTTTTTCATTGAAATTGAGATGAAATATCAAAACCAACATTAATTATTTAATCATCTTCATTGCTTGCGATGGCATTAGAATCAGTTGTATAATTGAATTTTTCTTCTTCATCTTTTTCCATTTCTTGTTGTCTATATTCTGCTCTAGTCTAATTATCCACACATGCTTGAATTTCTAGTGATTTTGGGCTTAATCTCGACCTTGTCTCATCCAAAATGCTTCCACCGGCATTAAAAGCTTGTTCCACCGCTACTGTTGATGTCGGAGTTGCTAAAATTTGCTTAGCAATAACTAATAAGGGAGAGGATAGGATAAAAAATAAACGATGGTGGGCTTTCAGTCCAAGACTCCAAGTTTTATACCATTTATGGCTTTTAGTTTCAAACCAATAGCTTTTAATTTGACCTTTTAAACTTTCTTAAAACCCATAAAAAAAAAAGCCCATAAAATTTAAACTTTCTTAAAACCTATTAAACACAACTAATTTTTTTCGAATTATCTCACTACTTATATTAATTATTTTTAATTATTTTTTAACGGTTCTGGAACCGGCGGTTTTGGTTCTATTTTTTAGAGAACCAGAATTGGAACCTTTATCTTAGGTTCTACCACGGTTTTGGTTCTTGTTTTGGTCCAGTTCCAAACGGTCCGGTTCCGGTCTGGTTCTCGATTCCAAATAGAATCATGGCTATGCCTAATCATGGCCGGTTCGCGATTCAACCGGTCGAACCAGCTAGTTCAGTCTACTTTTCAAAACATTGCAAAAAAGTAGAATGATTTTCAGAGACAAAAGATAATGCTACATGACGTTATAGTCAATTAGTAAATTGACGAGCTAATCTTGAAAAAAAATAATTAAAAAAGGGGACATATTACATAATTAACTGTCTAGCTACAGAATTAACCACATCCTATGCAAGCTACATCCCTCGCTAAACATTTAGAGACCGATCATGAGATCTTATATTAAGGGTTATAAAAGACTCTTCAGATGGCTAGCAAGCTAGGAAATTTAAGGGTTATATGTAGTTTCGGTCATTTTTGCATACATGGTAAGCAGAGCAACCACGAATGAAGGCCAAAAACTGTACTCCAACCTCTGCATTTGGTCAAGATCTAAACTTCTATGTAGCTCAAACTTGTGGGAGTGCGTTTCTAGATATAGCCGGTCTCAACAGACTTGTTTCAACTTGGTACAACATAACATAATTATCTACACTGCTCTACAAAATATCCTCGTGAATAGTTTGATCACTTACAAAAGCATTTCTCATGAGAAGATATAAACTATACACATAAAACTGTTTGAAAAAAAAAAAACTCTATTTTCATCAAGAATATTGAGTATATCTTTTATCTTTTCTTCCTCAATGATATGATTTCAAGAAACTTAAGCAAGCACTGTAACTTCACACCTTGAGAATAGACGTAAGATTTCACAGTGCAATTTGGAAGATGAATATGCATACATCCTGAAATTTGTCTCTACAACAACATATCCCTGATAGGAGTAAAGTTGGAATAATAATCAGTCAACAAATCTGTCTGCTATTTCATCGAAGTCAACTGAGAAGCTATGACGTATATTAAGTTAGCTGAAGAAATGTACAACCAAATCCACGTTCAGAGGAAGTTCCTTTGAAATGTCCAGTCCAATCAATGATAAGCACAATTTTTTTTTAAGAACACAGATAATTGGGAGTATCGGCTGGACAGCATGGTAAACAAAGAAAGTTACTAGAATGTTGCAGATAGGCTGGAATGACCTGTTTCCTGGATGATGTATCTGATAAGCTGATAGATAGATTTGTAGCCAACTTTATGCGGATAAACCAACTCTCCTTTCTTCCCTGATGAAGAGCCAAAACAAAATAAGAACTGCAGGTGGAGCAAAAACTCTAGAAGACAAGCATTTGAAACAACCAATAAGTGCAACTAAAGTTTACCTGCTGAAGCTTCACACGGCCCAAACCAGCAAGATCCTAATTATAGTCCTCTGTGTATCACTCAAATGTGTTTATATTATAAGCCTACATTCAGAACTGGATCAAATCAAATCATGATAAATATACTGACAAGTTACAAAATATTTCAGGGGATAAAAAGTGAGGCCAAAATCATGTCCATGCCAAAAATCAGTGATGGAACCAATATAGTTTCCCAACCCCTTTGAATAATTAGTAGCTGATCAAGCAATAGAACTTGATGAAACCAAACATTCTTACTTAATACCTCTTCAGTAGCACGGAAGCTTAGTTCCAGAGAAAAGGATACAAGATCCGCTGAGCCCAGGCCCCGCTCCTCGCCAAGGTGAGGAATACAAGTAAGAGGATAAGCGCGTTGGTCAATAATATTTAAAACCTTTTAGTTGGTCATGGTTGTAGGCTCAATCACTAACAGCATTTTCTTAGCAGTGTATAGTTTTTAGTTCCCTTTCTTCTTGTTTCCCTTATTGGTGCAAGCAAGGTTCACTCCAATATCACAAGTAGCAAAAGGTAATCACTCTATTTGTCCTTGCATGGGTGTTAAAAGGATCACCCTGGAAGCACAAAACTATGTGGTTCAAGATAATACGGTTTACAGTTTATTGTGGATTCGAACTTCATTGGGTGGTGTGGTGATTGGCATATAGATGTTTGCAGGATCAGGGATGGGAATAGAAATATCAAAGAAAAAAAAAAGAAAATCAAGAAATAAAAAATCATCCTGATCATTTTTGTTTCACCAAATCTACTATTTTTACACTCAATTTCCCATTCATCTTTCTTTTCATCATTTTGGTACAAAATCCATCCTTTTTGACCAACCAAAACTCTCACAACTCACACTGTCTGCACTCCCTCTTTTTCTTTCAAGACAAAACACACAAGACTAACATAACTCACTCCTTTCTATCTATCGGCTCTCTCCACTTCTCCCCTCAACTCACAGACACTAAAAAAGAATTCTCAGTCAACTTTCGGCCTCTCCTCTCTTTCTCAATTTCTCACACACTACACACATTCTCCTCAACTCCCCCAAAAATCTCTCGGTCTCTCTCTCAATAACACACAACAATCATACACACATACAACTCCCTATCTCAGCTCTCTTGCTCTCTCTCTCTCAAAAAAAAAAAAAAAGGGCAGAAGAACAAGGAAGATTTGTTACTGCTGTTGAAGTCGCCAGTGTCGGAGTATGGTCACGGGCTTCTTCAATAAATTTGCACACTAGAATTCAAAGGCTATTAAGCCAGTTAAGGTACCCTTCTCATTTTTCCCTTATGTAAATGTGGCCACTGGCTTTCTGTGATTAAAAGTTAAATAATGAGGGCTTTGTGAACAGGAGTAGACGGTTAACATTTTTCCTTTCCTTTTTTCTCTCGTTCCTTTTCTTTGTGGTAATAGGTATACTGGTTGTTGGTAAAATTTGGGAGTTCAAATCTGTCCGAGTTTCATGAACTGTGTGAACCTAAATCTTGCATTCCAAATGTTTCAAAAAATGCCTAAATGAAAAATCGAATTAAATTGGGTTTTTTTTGTCCATTTAAGGTCATAATTATATTGTAAAAATTACAAGGATTGTTTTGGTACAAATTTATGAATTTTGGAGAAGATTTTAGTGATGTTTAAAAATAAAACCGTGGCTGCATTTTGCCATTTTGACACCCTTTCGTGCATTTTTTTGAAAAACCAAGCCAGGAAATGGACTCTATGCGAAAAATCGAGTGAAGAGACGTATTTTAATGAAATTTTGTGATCGGAGAGACCGCCGGCGTTTGCCACGGACGTCGGCTACCCGAACTTCAGTCCACCGGATAAGAAGAAGAACAAGAGGGAAGAAGAAGAAAAAAGAGAGAGAGAGAGAGAGAAAAGAAAGAAAAAGGAAGAAAAAAAGAAAAAAAAACATTGGGCTGTTTTTTTTTTTTTTTTTTTCTGGTGAATTTGTGTTTATTTTTCGTTAGGCTTGTGGTTGGGTTTTGGAGCTGAGTCCAAAGTTTTCATTCTATTAAATTTCCATTATTCTTTGGACTTGCTTGGTTTTTTTCATGAATTGGCTTGCATTTTTGTTTTGGACTAGAGTAATCCGGCCCAAGTGCTAAGATGATGGCCCAATTTTGTTTCTAGATTTTGGCCTAAAATTATACTCCTTCTGTCCTATTTATTTAATTATATTTGGAGAATTTAACCTTTTAAGAATTGTGATTTGATCGTGATGTTTATACTTTTTTTTTTAATTTGACCCCCATAAATTCTAATTTTCAATGATAACATGCATATAATTAGAAAGAAGGGTTATATTGAAAAGAGAGATTGAACGGTACTTTGACTTTTCTAACATGACAATTGTTTTGAAACCTCCCAAAATGCAAAGTATGACACTTCAATGGGACAGAGAGAGTATTGTTTATATTGAGTCTAAATCAGAAATTGAATTTTGTAATTATGTCCCAATCTTTTGAGTAATTTTATTGTGGCTTAAAAATTTTTAAATTTCATTCATTTGGGTCCCTAATTTAATTACATTTTAGCCTCTAAATTTTATTTTTGTTTAATTTTGACCCATAATGGTTTCAAAAATTATACGTTGACCCCAAAACTTTCTTATTTTTATAATTTGGTCCCTATGGTTTTTGATTTTTTCAATTATAATTGTCCCTTTCCTTTAGTTGTTAATTGTGCTTCTCTTGCATGCATTTAAATTGTAAATTTTGAGTGTTTTGAGTTTATTTACATTTTTTAACATAATAATACGAATCTGGTAATTATTATTATTATTTTTAAGTAAATTGGTATCGTGTTCTTTTTGTTAATTTTGAGTATAGATAGGGCGACTTTACCTCATTTAGTCACCACTTCAAAAGGGAGGTACCTATATTACCCTTTAAATTGTGATTATATGTTCTGATCTGCTCCTACGTGCTATTGTATGTTTATATGTTTTCACATTTTTTATTATTTATTTAATTCAAATGCTTATTCAATTTTTTAATGTTTGTTTGGTTAATTTTGTAATTATTTGGGAGGTATTTAAATGCCTCAAGATGTAATAGATAGGTAATATTTTTATTTATTTTTACAAAAATTGTAATTAGATAGACAAATGTAATAGATAGGATAGATAGATTTATTTTATTATATTTTTTCCCATTTTAGATTATAGTTAGGTCTCCGCTATAATAGATAGGTTTTGTGTGTTTATGTGGCTTATGTGCTTATATGCTTTTGTCGCATTTCTTAGGATTTTTGCATCTAAATATTATACTTATGTGTTAGATGCTATATGTTCTTACATGTTTACTTGTTTTAATTCATGTTTTATTTGTTTTATTATGTATTATGAATGCATGACGTTACCACACTAGTCCCAACGCTAATTGTAACTTTTCCCTCTACTTCCCTGCTAGTCCAATGCTAATGAAGATTTCTAAAATAGGGTTAGTCCAACGCTAGATCCTTAGACCATCTACACGTTAGATTCAACCCTCGTATGTTATTTATTGCATTGTCATATATTTTTCCTATTTTAAGTCATTTTTCTCATTTGCATGATATTTCCTCTTATATTATTCCCTTATCCTCTATATGTGTGAACTAGATCATTTAGATTCATATTTCATTTAGAAAATTAGAAGAAATAAGCTAGTGCATATGCTTGTTTAGATTAGAGGGTCACTTTTCGAATATGGAAAATGGGTGATTATAGCTCTTTAACTTAATATCCCATTAATCTTTTTAGAAGAAAATTGTGTCACGAGTTTTTGTCTTTCGTATTCATTATGTTGCATCCCAATCTTTTGGTCTCGTGACTCCTTTAACGAATTATTTTGGATTTTGCAATTAATGCGATTGGTACCAATTCAACCTTGAATGGACATTTTACCCATTTCGATATTTTCTTTAAATTTAGGTTTTTAATCTATATAGGAAACATCCAAAAGTGATAAATTTAAGGGTTAGATTAGGAAAGTTTTGACTAAATCTCACAACTAATTTAGACTAGGTTGAAAAGATGCTTTAGGTTTGAGCCAATCTCACAACATTTGCCTGTCCTTTTTTCAACCATGATTCTCAAACTCATTTTCTCTTGTTTTCAAAGATCTGAAATTGTCGAAAAGGGTTTTATTTATTTTTTATTTTATTAAAAATATTTTTGGGAGACTTGGTACACCTAAACATTATACAAGTAGTGACTCTTATTTTCTTAAAAACTCTTTTAAATTAAATTTTGGGTCCAAACTGTTGTATTCTTAAAGTCCCATTTTAGGCCTTTTTTGCACTTATATTTTTAAATGAAAAAACACATCTTTTTGTAAATAAACCGTTTCATAGTGAAAATTGATTTTTTTTTTTTTTTTTTTTTTTGTTTGCATCATGGCTTATGGTTACAACTATTAGATTTCGTCTGAGGTAGATCCTTATCCCCCAAATGAGAAAACCCTTTTATTCATTTTAAGCTTGTAATGCCAATCTATCCATCTACTTTCTCATTTCAACCAGCAGTTGCTGCCATTCCTCCACTTTCCAATTGCTCTCTGAAATCCATCACTTGTCTGAACTCGAAACAAGGTATCAGACATTCAAGTTTATCTTTCTGTCTCGCTCTCCTGAAGCGCGCACACACGTATTCGCTTATGTGAACTACTGCCCGTCCTTTTGAGTCCTCCAACGAGATGAGTTTGGACAAATCTAGAACCATTATAAATCCTATAATTACCAAATTTGTATATTATTCTACAGAAAAGTATGAGCATGTCAAAAAATTCATTGGATGTAGTAGCATGTCAAAGATTTAAGATATAAAATATCAATATACTTATGTGAATAGGTGGTATATGCATGAACTTGAAAGGGACTATAAGTTGCTGGTGCACTCAAGATCCCAATACATTACCTGCGGATACTTTGGGCTTCTATTATACGTGACAGTGTTCTGCACAGGAGCTTAATTAAGAAGCATCTAGTGCTACTACCTCAAATTCTTTAAGGATAAGATCTTTTGTTGTTAGATTAAAAAAAAACAAAAAGAAAACATCTTTTGTTGTTACTTTCAGAATTGAAATTATGTTCAGCATTTCTGATAGGTAAGTTTATTGTTCTACAGTGGGTCCTGTTGAATATGACAATACAGAGTCGCACCAGCAAGCTGCTCGGTATCCTCGCACAAATAAGTTAAAAAAGCATGCAGGAAATTTATGCTAAAACTAACCTCATACGTCAACATTTTCAGCCTGGCCAGATGTCAGAAAGCAAAGGTGAACCGAAGGAAAGAACAGATGTTGTTGATACTGGTATATTTTTCACTCTACATACTTAGTATTTTGATTTTGTTAATTGTTAATTGTTAATATTCCAACTAAAAAGATCTAGTTCTTCTATTCTTCTATGACAAGGGATTACAAGTCTCTTTTTGGTTCAACTTGTTGGTCTTACAGATACCATATTGACTGCATTCTGAGATTTTTTCTGAAATCTAAACAGAAAATCCGAGTAAGATGAAGTAGAGGTAAAAAGATTTAAAGATGACAGAGACATCTGTATTGAACGAAGAATCACTTGATCATAATGATTTGTGTATAGAAAATAAGAAAGAAACAAATACAAAATAAATTAACTATCTATTTCTATTATTTCAATGTCGCGAGACTATATGATTTCAAGCTCGTTTAAAATCATCTTAATGGAATTGAAGGAGTGAATTCATATGATAGCCTCCCTCAATCACAATTCCCTTTTGTAAAGTTTACTTGGTTACCTTTTTGTAAAGTGTTGATATTAAAGTATGATCTATATACTATTGTACAGATCTAGAACCATTATAAACCCTATAATCCCAAATCTGTATACTATTGTACAGAAAAGTATGAGCATGTCAAAAAATTCATTGGATGTATTAGCATGCCAAAGATTTAAGATATAAAATATCAATATACTTATGTGAATAGGTGGTATATGCATGAACTTGAAAGGGATTATAAGTTAGCCAACAGCCTCTTGGGCTGTTGGTCACCAAGACATCTTTAAGTCTTGGTAGAGGGTTCAATCCTTGCCTCCCACCATCCTCTAGTTATGGCTTCCCCTCCCCCTCCTCTTAGATTAGGCTAGAATAGGTTATACAAACTGTTATCATTGCTGGCAAAAAAAATAGAAAGGGACTATAAGTAGCTGGTGCAGCCAAAATCCCAATACATTACTTGTGGATACAATGAGCTTCTATTGTACGTGACAGTGTTCTGTCCTGGAGCTTAATTATGATGCATCTAGTGCTACTACTTCGAATTCTTTAAGGATAAGATCTTTTGTTGTTAGATTCAAAAAAAAAAAGAAAAAGAAAAGATCTTTTGTTGTTACTTTCAGAATTGAAATTATGTTCAGCATTTCTGATAGGTAAGTTTATTGTTCTACAATAGGTCCTGTTGAATATGACAATACAGAGTCGCATCAGCAAGCTGCTCAGTATCCTCGCCCAAATAAGTTAAAAAGCATGCAGGAAATTTATGCTAAAACTAACCTCATATGTCAACATTTTCAGCCTGGCCAGATGTCAGAAAGTAGAGGTGAACCCAAGGAAAGAACAGATGTTGTTGATACTGGTATATTTTTCACTCGGCCATACTTAGAATTTTGATTTTGTTAATTGTTAATTGTTAATTGTTAATATTCCAACTAAAAAGATCTAGTTCTTCTATTCTTCTATGACAAGGGATTACAAGTCTCTTTTTGGTCAACTTGTTGGTCTTACAGATACCATATTGACTGCAGTCTGAGATATTTTCTGAAATCTAAACAGAAAATTGAGTAAGAAGAGGTAGAGGTAAAAGGTTTAAGGATGACAGAGACATTTCTATAATGAACGAAGAATCACTTGATCATAATGATTTGTGTATAGAAAATGGGAAAGAAACAAATACAAAATAAATTTAACTATCTATTTCTATTATTTCAATGCCTTGAGACCCTATGATTTCAAGCTCATTTAAAATCATCTTAATGGAATTGAAGGAGTGAATTCATATGATAGCTTCCCTCAATCACAATTTCCTTTTGTAAAGTTTACTTGGTTGCCTTTTGTAAAGCGTTGATATTAAAGTATGATCTGCTGATAATTGATGACAGTAGTTGGCATAAAAAGTCAATTGCAAATTATCTTGGATGGAAGAGAAACAAACCACACTAATTCGTGTATTTTGTCAATGGTGGAGATCATGAAGAAGGTGTGACCTCCAGACACCAAGAAAGAACCAAATCAAGTCACGTCGCCATTCAACGAGAAATAGAAAAAGCAAAGCTTTAACTGATACAACTGATTCTGATGTTAGCCCCCACTCCAAGTTTGTGGGAAACTTCAGGGACCAGTAGAGTCTGATAATTTGAGTGCTGAAGAAGAAATTAAAATTGTTGGAGAGTCTTTATTGAGGACGACAGCAATGCCTATCCTCTTCGAACTAGAAGCAGGAGAAGCAGAAGAATGGTCAATAGAAGTGGTTCTGAAGTTACCATTCCAAGAAAAAGAGTTCGACGGCAACCAAGGAGACCCCTGAATTTCAGCACTTCAATCACATCGGAAGGAGTTTTAAGCTCCAGGCAATTTTATCGCTACATGGAGTAAGTTTTCTAGTTTGATGTTTTTAAAGTTGCACTATGATCCTGTTTCAAAGCCTTACTTGTGTTAAAAGCATTGCATTATGCAGCCACATATGGAGTGAGGTTTCTGCAGAGAAGAGAAACTCAATTGCATGCATGGATTGCTTGTGGTTTAACACATACGCGGAAAGTAAATGGAAAAAAGGTGTTAAAATGGATAGAGAGGGAAGATATATTTTCAAAAAAATATGTTCTGGTTCCCATTGTTCTGTGTAGGTCTCTTATATTGTGCAACTGGCTTAGTTAGTTAACATCTTTTCTTTTGGAGTATCTTGTTCATCGAGATTGTACTTGTCAGGTCTCATTGGAATCTCCTGATCTTCTGCCATTTCGGTGAAAGCCTGCAATCAGAAAGCAGCACTCCCTGCATGTTATTGTTGGATTCGCTGCACATGACAGATCCTAAGAGGCTTGAACCTTTAATTAGAAAGTATTTGATCAATCAATTACTTGTTTATTATTGGTCTCAAAAAGTTGGCGCCGGTGTCTTATTTTATCTCATAATGATCTGTTGTTTTTCTGCTTCATAGGTTTGTTATGGACATATATAAAAATGAGAAGAGGCCAGAAACCAAAGAATTGATTCGTAAAATTCCTCTTTTGGTTCCTAGTGTGAGTTACAATTAATCATCAGCTTATTTTAATTTTCAGTTGGATTCTTATACTGAAAAAGACGCAATGATTATGTTTTTTTTTTCTTTTTTTTCCCAGATTCCTCAGCAGATAGATGATAAAAAATGTGGGTATTTTGTCCTTTACTATATTTATTTGTTCATAAAGAATGCTCCTGAGATGTTTAGCATCGACGAGGGCTACCCTTACTTTGTGAGTCCTCTTCGTTTATCTTTTTAAAGAAAAAGTTTCTTTTAACCTGTATAATAATTGGTATTTTCTCTCATACATTGTAGATGACAGAAGACTGGTTCACTCTTGAAGAGCTCGACGGCTTCTGTAGAACACTCGAATCAGTTCGGGTCGACACTACAAGCTCAGATGAATAGATTGTACAGGTGCATCACCTTCTTGTATTGCGTAGCAGTCTGTAATATAGGTTGCATCCAGGACTCTTGAAGAAGTAGCAGTGTAAGCAAAAAAGCAATTGTTGTGATTAGTGATTATTAACGAAGGGCCTCTTCGGGGCTACATGTTATGAGCGGCAAACTTGATTGTTACATTCTGGGAACTCATTTTCAGTTTTCGCTTGGGTTCTTTCTTTTAAACAGAAAATAGGTTTTTTGTTTTTCTTGTACTTAATAAACCATTGTATTGTCAAGTTTTCTTTGTACTTGATCAACTATTGATAAGTTTTCTTGTACTCATTTCAGATTTCTTTGTACAAGTTTTCAGATTTCTTGTACTCATTTCTTTGTAATTAATCAATTATTGACAAGTTTTCTTTGTACTTGATCAACTATTGATAAGTTTTCTTGTACTCATTTCAGTTTTCTTCTCTTTGCTTTTATAAAACTTGTGTGGTCATGTTGCAACTCTCTGTTTTGTCACGTAAATTGTATAGACTTTTGATTTGAGGAGATTGATGGGCTAACAAATTTTCTTCATATTACGCCTCGAGCTAAAATAGTTTTAAAAACAAAACCCAGAACTCTGATCCAACCAAACCAAACCAAACACTTGAATTTGATCTATCATACTTTCTGGTAAATGTTTCACATCAGTAAAAGCCCCATCTGTAAAAGTTCTATCCTTCTTACAGCCATTAACAATTCCTATGTCTTTTAAGCAACCATCACAAAACAAAATTACGACTGCATGTCCTCATATTTCCAACAACTTAGATAGCAAAGCAAGCTATTATGAACAAATTTTTTTTTCACAATTAATCCAAAAGAAAGGTAAAAGGGGTACCAAATCCGGATTTTCGACCCTAGTTTGATCATTTGATGTACTACAAACAAATACATGGAATTCAATCTTCAGCTGCTACAGCGGATGATCCTCTCCCAACCCTGCCATGAGTTCCAGCATCTTGTGCAGTTGATTTATACTTGTACCATGAAGCCCAAAAGAGATAGTTAGCAAAGTTGAGCAAGCTTAGGATGGCTAAAAACCAGTAAAAAAGCTCCAACTTATTGTGGTTCAAATCTGGTGCCTCTAACCATCCTTGTTTGCTTGGAGTCACCTTCTTGGTTACAGTATTCACAAGATTGACAAAGGCAGTACTTAAAAAGTATCCCAAGGAGAGTGATAAGAGTGCAAATGAAGTGGAAAGAGATCTCATCCATTTGGGAGCCTCCCTGTAGAAGAACTCCATTAGTCCGATCACTGTAAACATGTCAGCAACGCCAAAGACTCCATATTGGAAAGACAGCCAGAAAAGACTTATAGGATGCAATGGGTCCTCTATTGCTTTATGTCTTCTTTTGATCTCAACCACTCCTGCAATGGCCATTGAGATGATGGCAAGTACAAGACCGATGCCTACACGCTGAAGCTGAGTGATACCTGTTGGGTGACCAGTGATTTTTCGAGCCAGTGGGACGAAGTAAAACTCGTAGACTGGCAGAAGAAGAGACATGAAAATTAGGGGAATCACTGGGATTGAAGCTGAAGGAACTTTGAAAGATCCCAAATGGGTATTCATGAAATATCCTTGAAGTACTGAATATGTCTGCAGCTGTGCCATGCATGTGTTCATTATAATTGTACTCAGAATAATTGGGAGCATCCTGATGAGTATTTTGACTTCTTCTACTTGTGTTACTGTGCATACTTTCCATGGATCTGGAGCTCTCTCTTCTCGAACACTAGCAGCCCTCCCTCCTCGAACACTAGCAGCTTTGTCTAACAGCCTGTATCATTACAAGCATTTGAGGTCAAAAAAGTTCTGATTTATACACTCCTCTTGGATTGGGGATAAAATTTCATTTTTACTTGCTCTTTTGACATGTTTCATCCTTAAATTTGGTGCATTAGGATACTTTAATTGTCGAGCTACCTGAATTGGCTAGTATGTGAAATTGCATCTTTGTCATCAGTCTCGTATAACTCACTGGGATTTTCTGGTAGCGGTACATTTCTGTTACGTATTGCGGCAACTATAACCTGGAAAAACATGTTGATAATGGTTACGAACATGTAAAATTATTGTATTTATTATTTTTTTTGGGAAGAAGGGAACTTTCAAGTAGTTAAATGAAACAAATTAAGGAAGAGAAAAACCTGAGATATCTTGACCAGGGGGCTGGTGCTTTGGGATGGAAGGCGATAGAAAGGCTTTCCAAGTGCTAGAACCACCATACCAATAGAAGTAGTAATTAGAGATATCAAAAATCCCCAGTGCCAACCTTTGTTCATAGCTACCCAAACCACAATAGTAACACCTATAATTGATCCTATGGTTACACTGAATTGATAGGAGTTGAAATAGCTTGCAAGTGCCTTTGCTTCCTTTTCATCCTTTTGATCAAATTGATCAGCACCAAGTGCAGCAACTGATCCTTTAACTCCACCAGCACCTACTGCCAAAAGGAAGATGGTGCAATATAACATGACAGCTTTACCACCTCTTACACAACTTGATTTGTCGCAGGGATCAGGCTGCAACTTATTTGAATCTGCTTGGACAAAAAGTAAAAGCAATCCCTGTAGGGAAAACACCAATTATTGAGGAGGAAAGATAGATGAAAATTTGCTATTTAGAGTTAGAATTCATGTTATTGTTCTTTACCAAAACTTCCAAGATGCCAAATGATAAGCATGTGTAAAGTCTGTTCAAGTAAGTGTCTGATATAAAACCGCCAAAGATTGTGAGCAAGAAAGTTGACCCCAGGAAATTGGTGAGGGTGTTTGCAGAAGCGGATAGACCAAATTGCATCACAAAGTGAAAGTAAAGAACCAATGATGACATATTCGCCACAAATCCAATGTTCTCGAGAGTTATCAAAGCTAGCAGAAAACAAGAAAGGAAAAGGAATCAATTAATCTTCATGTTAACCAGTGAGAGCCATCAATAGGTCATATGTTCTGATCATGCACACTCACCTAGTACAAATATGCAAGCCCTGAATCCACCTTTCTTCTTTGTCATTGAACTCACTAAGGATTGAACATTCTCTGCATCCTGCAGTAGTAAGCAACTGATGTTAAATACTGTTAACGAGTGATGCATATTATACTAAGTTAGCATTGGAGTAAAGTACTCATGCAATTCTTAGCACAGATAAACCATACCATCTTTCAAGAGCCAAAGACCAAGGAAGATTGATGAATTCAAATGCCTGATGACGATGAAAAAACAGCCTTTTCAGCTGCCTATATATATTGCACCATGGATTAGATTTGCAGCAACTTAGTCGTGGAGAATCATTCTATTGTTTAAGTCCCTTTTGACTTTCTGTCCCTTTCCTGCAACCTTGGATTTATGCTCTAACTTAGTTGAATCAACTCTAGACAAAATAAAATATCATTTCCCTGATTCCATGTGGAGGTAAAATGTTTTATACGAGTATCCTTTGCTAAACATTTAACCCCAACGTTACTAATAAAATACTAAGACTTCTTTTGTTTCCTTTTGATGCAAATCCATACATCTCAAACAAATGTTGACATTTTCAACTAATTACTTCCAATCAAATACTAAGGTTTCTGAAAACAAGAAATACGTGAGTGCAGATTATAGTTACAATTTTATGGTTGACAAAAAATTGAAACATTGGCAAATTTTCTTGGATAAAAAGGAATATTACCGCCACTTGTGGCAATTTTTTTGAACAGTTGTCGTACGAAAGCCACAAAGTCACAAAAAAAATACAAACAGAATAAATTAAGCTAATCAACTATTAATGTCGTCAAGAAAATGGTAAAATGCTAATTTGGATTGCAGTTTTTTATCAAAAAAATTTTTACATTTTTCGTGAATACATTTTTTAATTACTTTTTTATCTCACATATATTAAATCACTATAGTATATTTTTCTACATAAACTTTAAAACATAGTCATCCAAACGGGATCTTAGGTTTTAATTAAAAGGTCAACTGAGGCCTAGTTCATTATCAAGGAGGTTTATTGATTGGTTTTAAGTTTAACAAATAAATTGTTTTTCTGCAAGGACAGTATCTCTGACGAAAGAAAACCTTTAGTTTAGGCTTCAAGAATTGGAATTGTCAAATCTAGGCAACATATACAACTACTAAAAATAAAGTAAAATAGACTCTTTAGTATTATAGAAACGCAGAAGAAGTCATAAATCGGAGATGTAATAGATTAATATAGAAGTCCAAAAAGGACGGCCTTTATTTTTTCATTGTTGGATTCAACTAAAAAAAAAAAATCAATCAATGTAAATTTATACACCCCATGACTTATTATAAGACAAAGTTTTACCTAAGTCAACAAATAACCTTGAAACATGGTTCATCAGTTTTTTTTTTTTTTTTCTAATAGAACTTATTTGGAAGTTAGAAGTAGGAAAAGAGAATGAGAGCTGAACCTAATTCTAAGACTGTATGAACAACGGTCTAAATTCATTTATCTAGAAGGCTTCAAGCATTATGTAAAGCTACAAACATTTTTGTTTCTTTTTTGAAGAGATTAAATTTGTAGTATGATTTTCTTGAAGTCAAAGATCATCTAATGGTGTTATAAAACATTTAAAAAAAGGAATTATAAGTAATTCCCTTGATTTTTGGTGGGTTAATTTAATTTAAATACCATGACCATTTAAACACATGCTAGAGCAAAAACAAAAAGGGAAAATGGCTAATTCATCCTTAAACATTTTCATTAGTGCCAATTTAGTCCCTAACTTTTATTCCTAACCAATTTGTTATGTGAACTTATTTTGCAGTTCCAATTAAGAACCTCCGTGGCGCCGCCACCATCTAAAGCTGATCTAACTCCTAATTAACCAACTAAACAAGGGTGTTTTGGGAACGCTACTTATGAAACTGTAATAAATCAAGTATATCATATAAAAAATCACAAGACTATACTTAAGAAAGTTTTATATATGGTGATTTTTTACATGATTTAAAGATTGTATCTGGTGATTTTTTACATGATTTACTTGTTTTATTACAGGCATGCAAGTGGTGTTCCCATAATACCCCAATTCAATTAGTCAATTAGGAGTCAGATCAGTTTTAGACAGTGATACCACTACAAAGGTCCTGATTTGGAACTGCAAAATAAATTCAAATATTAAATTGGTTAGAAATAAAAGCTAGGGATTAAATCGGTACTAGTAAAAAAATTTAGGGTGAAATTGCCTATTTTTCCAAACAAAAATGTGCGATAATAGTTTTTTTTTTTCCCGTCAGCTACTTTGCGATTATAGACTGTGGGAGAAGAAAACTTGACCAAAAGCAGAAGGTTTGACTGTCTTTTTTTTTGGATGTATTTTAGAATGAAATGACTTGACTTTGTAATTGCGTATAATGTGATTAGATTCGGTAAGGATG